GCGGGGGTTCAGGAGGCAACGGGTGAAGGCTTGTGGTTTGGCACAGGGATGAAGATGCAGGGTCTAAGCTTTGGTTGCTTTCGCATCTCATGGAGATGTGCGTAGGCTTGAGGTCCAGGTTCGAGGTTTAGTAAATCAGGAAGATTTAGAGCAGGAAGATTTAGAATGTGGGGCGTGGACTCCGGGGTTCCGTGGCGCCCCTTGTGTAAAAAGCTCTAGCCCGGAACAGTCTACTGTAAGTGTGCAACTCGCGAATACATCTTCGGTCTGGGAGCCCATGGCTTGAGGTCCCATGAGCTACAACTGCTTATTTGGAATGTATCATGGTTGAGCGATTACCACGATTTCTATTGTTATTGTCATCACCAGTTCACTGCTTACTTTTACTCGGCTTGTTCTCCAGATCTAATTTCGCGGTTGACAATGGCTACACATGTCAGGCTCTCCGTTGAGGAATTGCGGCCTTGGGCCAATCTGGAGATTTCGGCTTTGATTCGGCTCTAGGAGGTGTGTAATTGTGCAGCAATAACTGGCCGTAACAGCAATAAGAAGGATTATACGGATATTAACACAGGTAGTCGTATTGCAGACATAGCTGTTGCTAGTAAAATGATCATGTACATCATGCCAATCTAGTTATGAGCAGGAAACTCCACTTGCTGACAAGGCACGTCTACATGTTGGCTACGTACATGTCTTGCTGTTGTCCACGCAACCAGCATCAAGCATTAATGCCTGGCGAACGTCAGGTTCACTTACAGCTTCTGGACCAGGCCTGCTGCCGTGCGTGCCGAAGCGTGATCGCATGTTCGGCCCTCCCGGAGTCCCGCGAGGAAGCTGCAGGCAATCTTACTCCTGCGTGACGGGCGGTATCTCCTCGTCGGGACCAGCGAGATGCAAGGACCTCTTCAGGGACTGCAGCTTTCGTGTTTCAGCATAGGTTGGGTTTGTGGTCTCCGGAGCGTAGGCCAGGCACGAGCTTTCCGCAGTCACTCTGTGATCTAGACTCTAGACGGGTCAAGCAGAAGCCGTGTCGATGAGACACTTGAGGTCCTTGACGCACTTGCTGTGTAGTTAGGCTTTAGACTAAGTCGAAGAGAACCATCCTTATCAGCCGACTTATCGAGTTTATTTATAGTTTGGTAAAGAGGTCCGTTTTGGGTTCTCCTGGATGTCGTTCGGAAGGAACCATCGATTCGCAGGCGGCGGGATTGGTCGCTTGGCCGCCCTGACGAGGGGTTGGGAGGCTGCAGGTTTAGAGTATCTTCTCGTGCTGGCCCTTCCGGTTCTTATCCAGCTGGTGGCGGATGGATCGCATCAAGCTGCATCTTTATGATCACGAGGAGGACGCCAACAATGTCGATGCTTCTGCTATTGCTGATGACCTGGATTATTATGACGCCGATGTTGATGATGACGAGGATGATGGATGCTTATGCTGATGATAATGGTGATGATGATGATGATGGTCATTATCATCATCTTGCTTACAATGGTGATGTCAATGTTGTTGGTGCTGATGCTCATGCTGATGGTGCTGGTGCTGGTGATGGCGATCATGTTATTGATGATGAGTATGACAATGACAATGGCGATGCTGAGGATGGTGACGATGATGATGATGATGGTTCTGATGAGGATGAGGATGACGGTAATCTTGTCATCACCATCACGCTCATTGAGCAAGAGCTGTGTGTTCATGGGTAATCATCATGTGCATCATCGCCCTCGCAGCCTCCTCCTCTTCTTATCCAACCTCGTCCCGGTAATCATCATCCTCATGCTCATCCTGTTTACCATCATCACCATCACCACCATCACCACCATCACCACCATCACCACCATCACCACCATCACAACCATCACCACAATCGCAGGGTTTTCTGGGTCAGCGCGCTACCGGAGGCCTGCCGCTGCTTTGTGGCCGATTCGCTGGCATCCATCGTCCTGTTCGCCCAGGCACCAGTAAGAACTCGCGCCAATTTGGGCATCACGGTTTTGTTTTTTGTTTTCAATTGTGCCTTGGGGCTGTTCAGCTGAACCCTTTGTTCATTCTGTTCTAGGGCCTGTTTCAGGTTGTGTGATTAGGACGTGCTCGACCTCGAACTGACCTGTTGGGCCTTGGTAACTGCCGGGTGCTGCTAGGTGTTCTTTTGTCATTCTCGGGAAAGGTGGAGTCTTTTTCGTAATGCCGAAAGCTTGAGCTTTCTGCTTACACTGATGCGGAGATTTACGGCCTGCATGTCAAGAAAGTGCCGAATGCCTTCACGAGGAGCAACCTGCGAACCCCAAGACCAAAAGGCAAGGGAAGCCATGACCAAAGCCTGGAAGCTGCTCTGAAGGATGACATTAGCCGGCAGATCCTGCGCGTGCGAACCCCGGAGTCACCGGACTCCAAGCGCCCGCTGCAGCGCTTCAGCATCCCGACGTGCATGTAAACCCGAAGCTTCTAAATGGTACGGCCTTTCCGAGCGCTTTCGGAAGGACCGGTTGGTTCGATGTGAGAGTTTTTTGGCTTGTCTCGCTCAGCTCCCAAAAAAGAAGTCTTGAGTTCCTACAACGGCTCTGGGAATCCAGTGGGAATCCCGTAGAACTCCAAGCCCAAACAGTCTGGCACCCAGGTGACTCGACCTCAAGATTGCAGTTGCCTCGCGTGGAGGGCGATGTCGGGCAGGAGGAGGAAGGGCGAGCCACGATTCAGGGATGGAGGGTTTGGTCTGTCGGCGGTTTAGTGTCTACGGCCCAAGAGATCAATATTGGGCTTCAAAGCCGCCGTGCATTTGGGGGCCTTGGGTTCCCACAACTTTGAGGTTGTACGGCGCGGGCAGGGTTTCGAGGAGAGTGGGCTTCAGGCTTGCCACTTTGGGGTTTCGACTTCTGCGACTTTACCGGTGGTTCAAGCAATATCTGTGCACAGAGCAAGTAGACGGGATCTAGCTGTCAGGCATATTGATGGCGATTATACACACAATGTCGAGGTGTCGGGTGTTTGCCTACCGCCAGTCAACACCGTGTATTGCAGGACCCTTAAGTAGAAATCCATCTAAGTCTACACTCGCTACAATCGGCTAAAAAAGCCTACTGTCGCCTGCGCAGCGCGGGAGGTCTTCGGCAAGTTTCCCAAGGCCGACGAAGCCACCTCGCAAGCAGTTGGTGGGGGGGGGGGGCTGGGTTTGTTTCATACTATGTTGCAGACCCCGATGAAGAAATTCTCTTTCTTTTGCCAACCAGAACTAGTAGGCCCGAGCAAAATCCCGGATTTCACGGGTGGATTATGGGTCAGGCTTGGCCGTCCTGATTCGTGGCTCGCCGCATAAATTCGGGATTCCCTCCGTTGGTTGTTCCGAAACAGAGGCTTCGTCTTCCCATGGGATATCCTTACCCTAACGATCCCGCGTTTCGGGAACATTCATCATCTGGCAATCCGTCCTTCTTTGACTTGGGCCTGCGGACTTGGAATGGAATAAGGTTTCGACTAAGGATGGGACTGTAGCATCACAACACAGGGGTTCTAAAGTGAACCGCACTTTTTCCAAAACCCGGGAGCCCTGAAAACGAGAGATGCCATCCCTTATCGACACTATCCTTTTTTGCAAACTCTTGCCCTGCCTGGCCAGTGCAAGTTTGGCAGTATCCTGTGACGGACCAGTGTCGCGCGGTGGTGCAGTGCACATTCTGCCGTAGCTGCATCTCAGATGATGTCCAGGAGCGTAGAGGTTCTGGGGACGTTCCGGCTTCTCGGTGCACTTGTGAAGCCAAAGATTGAAAAACAAACGGTGACTAAGGTGCTGCAGTCCCTCGCATGCCCGCTGCTGTTCAGCAACACCGCCTTCGACCAGGATCGGGAAGCCCTTGCGAAGTAAGGTGGCAACAGTCTCAGTCACTCTGAGCATATCTCAGCCCTTAGAACCCGGCAGCACTGTGCAAATGTCGCAGGTCTAGAGGCTTCAGGTTCTTCGGTGTTTTTGTCTTGGAGTTGCAGGGTTTTGGACCGGAATTTCAATTTAGGGCCCCGCAAGGCATGATATGGCATGATCATGCACTGCGGTCCTCAATGGTTGCCAGAACCACGTCTAAACGAATCCCTGCCAGCAGCCATGGCTGCCATGCCATGGCATGGCATGGCAACAACTCCACTACCTGAGACCTAAACCGGAAAACCCAGGACCGCCAAGGCCTTCTCGAACGTCGAGAGAAGCAGCAATTCCTTAGATTCAGTTCTGGCTACCCTTGGAGGAGCAGGCACGCGCCAGCGTGAAGAGAGGCGCTTACTCCAGCAGATCGGCGGGTTATCTCGCAGTTTGGGAGTTGAGCGCTTGGGCGGTTCGGGGTGAAGGTGTTGTGGGGTTAGTTGGAGTTTGGATCCTAGGGGTCCGGCTTCGCTGAGCGAGCCTGCACAGGCGCAAAGTGCCGGGTCCGTCGTGTGAGTCCAACCTTCGGCTTCGTGTCCTGCAGTACGCAGGCCAGGGGACCGCTGTGTGCCGGTGAGTGCATGCAGCAATGTTATATAAATATGATGCCTCAACGGGCTCTGGGTTCTCAGGGTATCAGAGTGATTTGAGGCGGCGATTTTACACGGCTTGCGGTTAGGGTCGAGGCTGTGCCGTTGTGTCTGCGGTTCCTGCGAGGGGTCGGGTTTGGACATGGGTGCTTGTCATCACAGTCATCGTTAATCACCTCCATTATGATTATCTGCTTTATTAGTATCCTCGTTTTCGTGTTCTTATCATGTTCTCTTCCCCGTCAGGCTGAAGCTGTCAAGGGATTTGCACCGTCGTTGTTGTTGCAGCAGTGATGTCGTGGGCACCGTCGATGTGGGTGTTGTCCAAGCGTACAAGAGCAGTCGTGTGACCTCGGTCTGACAAACGACCTCTGCGATAGAGACACAGATAAGCCCCACACCGATAGCGTACATGTTCAAGCAAACTTTCCAAGTTCCGAAAGGATCGCCTAGCCGCATGATGTCCTTCTGGAGTTTCCTGTTGCTGTGTGCTGCGACCATGGGCACCAGTCGAGCGTGCTCTTGCATACCAGACTTCATCCCAGCACATGAGGCCTACTCGTCTCCAGTAGAAGTGTTCTTCAGGCAGCCCTTCGTTTTCACAGGGAAGGTCCTCTCCGTCCAGCCAGTCGACGGCATGCCAGGCAAGCAGTCTGAATATTGTGCAGCGAATCCAGCAGCTCACGATGAGCGGTGGGGAAATCCATGCACTGGTGACTATGCAGGCCATTTCGACAGATGGAACAGGTGTGGCCGGAAACATGTTGCCGAGGTGCAGGTCACTCATGGACTTCAGGGGATTGCAAAAGGCGAGACTTTCCGGTACAACTGCACTCGTGCAAGTTGCGGCGATTGCAGTCCGCCCTGCCCCGAGGTGGGTGCGGAGGTTCTCGATGGGACACCAGCAGGTGGCGCGACGTCCTTCTGCGGCTCGCGACGCTGTGAGCTCGGCGGTTGGGATGCAGACAGCTGCCAGCACCTCCTCAAGGCGTTGCAGCGGAAGAGGCCTGCTGAAAGCAGGAAGCTTCAGGTTTCTCTTCCCGTGGCGTTCTCCACGCTGACCGCCAATCAATACTTCCGTGGCCAGCTGTTGGGATCGCTGGTCTGGGATGTGCTGGATGCACTCAAACTTTCGAAGTTTGACATCAAGTCCGCAAACCTTGTGGAGGATCCTCATCGATCCGTGTCAGTGACACCTTATGCCGTCCTGCCGTCCAGTCTTTTCGAAATCGTCTTCTACATGGCGCAGCAGAAGGACGTGGACACGGTCGAATCAAATCTTCGAGAGCTGTTCTCCGTGCCCTTCAGCTGGAAGCAGGGGTGGGACGTTGTAAGGCGGTTCTGCCTCGACGGGCCATGCCCTCAGTGCCAAACCACCTGTGTGGAGTCCTCGCAGACTTCATTGGTGAGCATAGGTTTGCCCATCTTCGCCTGAGGATGCCGCTGTTGCCGTTGGTGCAGTGACGGCACGATACGGACCAAGCAGGAAGCTGCTGCAGCCAACATCATCCTAACTCATCGTGTACGCACCTGAGCTGATGGCTTTCTTTCGGGCAGTAGCGCCCGAGGGCTCAGAACCCGCTCTTAGCCTTGGGGTGTGGTGGCAAGGTGTCGTGTTGCACGCGAAGTAAAGGTCCAAAATCTGCCTGAACCCCCGGCTCGGAGAAGGTGTGACCGCCCCTTCCGCTTTTGTACAGGGTGAGAGGACGCCGCAGCGAAGAGTTGGCTTCCAGCTTGCAGGGCCTTCAAGCACCTCCCTTCAACCCGAAAGTAAACTCCGGAGGCAGAGTTTGTGATGATCATGATGATGGCTGATTCCATCCTTCCTGACTGTCTTCATGATTGACTGCATCCAAAACCGTAGAGTTCCAGCAACATCCAGTCTCCCTTGCGCCCTCAAGCCTTCAAACCAGCAAATTTTCTGCGATCCCGAAAGACACATCATTGCGACTCTTCGAATTTTTCTAAAGCTTTCGAGCCCCCCTCCGAGTGGTTCCTTGTTGGAGTTCCGCTGCTAAATTCGAGACCGACACCGAACTGCTTTACTACACAGGCCACGAAAACCCCGTTCCGCCTGAAGCCATCCGACACGGCCAGGAGTGGGACCTCACAGACGGGCCTGTGAACCCGGCCAAGGAGCAGGAGCTGCCTCGATCACTGTTTCCGGGTGCCACTCCGCTTCTTCTTCTTCTTGTTGCGTCGTTGCTGTTGCCGTTGCTGATGCTGCTGTTGCTTCCGTCATCATCATCATCATCATCATCACTACCACCACCACCACCACCGCCACCACCACCACCACCACCACCACCACCACCGCCATCCTCGTTATTGTCAGCATCGGCATCACCATCGCAAGATCGCAAGATCTTCGCTTGCGTCTTCGCTGGAGGACCAGCCGGGAGGTCAAGCGGAGGAACGGCCTCAGAGAGAGGGGCCCTGTGCTCCACAGCCCGGAGCTGCCAACGCCCCAAAGCAATCCGTAAGGTGCCTCTTGCTTGTTGCAAGCGAGAAGAACTCTTCGGTCCCTCCTACCAGGAGTACGTCCAGCGTGCCCAAACCTCGGACCGCAGATTCATCAGTCGCTTGGCTGTAAGGACTTGCCGAAGTCCGAGTTCTGCAGTCCTTGGGCAGGATCTCCCCCCCTCCTACAGGTAGCTCATGGAGGACCTTTATTTCAGAAGAGCTCGCATTCGGAGGTGCCCTTGGCTTGGCTGGTGAGGGTTGCATTCAGGTTCTGCCGTACCCGGGCTGCTTCCAGCCTGAATCCTACAGCCTTGCAGCCGATTGATAACAGGGCTTGGTCTGGAACTTGCATGCAGGTTCTCTGCAGTCACCGTTGCAGCGCACGTTCCTTCCTTCGCGCATAGGTTGACGATCACCGCAATTATTAGTTGGAGTATACAGCCGCTCCTTTCGATAAAGACGCCAACCTTCCCCTTCACCTCCAGCCCTCCAGCCCAGGAGCCCTCCAGCCCTCCAGCACCAGCAGAGGAGCAACTGGAGGGCTGGAGGGCAGGGCTGGAGCCCCAAAACTTGTGCGAGTCACGCTGAGGCGCCCATCACAGCAACCTTAAACAGCGAAAGATTGGTGCGCTTTGAACGCTGTGATGACCAGCCACGAACTCTCCGCTTCTGAGGAGAAGCTCCAAAGTGCACTGCATACACACATACACGGATAGAGCTCCAGAACCAAGGAATTTCAGTCCGGCCAGCCCCTGATTTCTTGTTTGGAACGGTTCGTTGTTGTCCTGCTTTGAAGGCTGAGGGTGAAGAAACCCGCCTAGCTATTAAATCTGAGCATCTTTGCACCTTCGCAGGCGAATGCAACGGTTACGCTTCCAAGCCCTAGGAGATACCACAAGGGGCGGTTTGGAAGCGCCGCTCCGTCCACCAAAGGTTTCAGTGGTGGATGCCATCTGGGCCTGAAGACTGGGAGGCACTACTCCGCCGAAGAAACTCGGACCTTGTTCTGCTGTTGCTTTTTCGGATTTTGTTGAGTTGAGACTAGCAGAGGCAATGGGAGCCGTGCTGGTGGTGGTGGTGGTGGTGGTGCTGGTTGTGTTGCTGGCGGTCGTTGTTGTAGTCGTCCTCGTCGTGGTCGGCGTCCTCCGCCTTGTTGCTGGAAGTTTCCCTGATACATTGCAGCCGGCAGCGGCAGCGGCAGCAGCATCAGCATCAGCAGCAGTGGTGGTCATCTTACCAACAGCATACACATGGGCACAGTTCACAGTGAACTCACAGTACAAAATGATATCAGGATGCATGTCACCCACTTGTCAGATGCGCTGCAACGGTCTTTGGAATTTGTTGCTATGATGAGAAATCGAAGAGAACGCGTGGAATGTGGAGTGGGCTTTGTTGGTCAGGTAGCTTCATTGCAGGTAGCTGCCTCAGATGGTCTCGATATTCTCAACCCTGGCAGCCATCTTTTCCCTTTGCAGCCGCATGGTGGTCTGATTGGTCCCCCTTTGAAGCAACTCGGGGCAAGTCGAACGTCGAAGCACCTTTGTTCCTACTGACAACTAGACTCTAGACGATCGCCGCTGTCACGCTGCTTTCGTACGGTTTAAGGTACGACATGTTGATGTTTCAGCCGGCACGGTGGACGTTGTCTACACGGACTACCAGGTTCGCTTCTTTGTACGTGAGAGCTTCCGTTTCAGTGGACCCCAAGAAAGCCTCTTCGGCGCAGTGGCCCTTCGAGCTAAGCTTTGGGAAATTTCGAAAGGAGCCATGTTGTTGCTTGGGCAAACCGGGCCACTCCAACAACCGAGGCCTAGAGTCCAACAAAAGCCGCAGAAATCCCATGCCGATAGATGCCAATAGTTAACATGCCGCAACTGCAAACTGTAAAGCAAGCAGCTGTAAGCTAACGACCCCAATTCCTAACTCCTTCAAATTAAGCTTCTTCAAGCTCAACCCTAAGCCTCAAAGCAGGAGTGGGCCACCGGAAACTCCGGGCACACGGGCGCTCGGGGCAGCACGGGTGTCCTTCTGCCGCCTTTGCAGGACACTCCGTCGTTTAAGGGGCTGAGGGCCTGGAGTGCTACTGCTACTGCTGCCGCGAAGCGACGCAGCACAAACGAAGATGACGGTGGTAGAAGCTAAGACTTGTAAAAAGCTGAGAAGTTAGTTGATATGCTGCATGTAAAGTATCTCCAGTCGTCGTTCAAACCCACCCTCCTCCATTGCAAATATTTCCCCTTAAGTGTGATCTTTGGCTAATGCTCCAGGACACCTTTAAGACCCTCGAAGATACCCAAAGAATGCTGGAACATAGGAGCAGGATTGTCGTTGACGGGGCAGAGAAGGGAGGAGGAGAGCTGAAGAAGGAAGCCGAAAAGAAGTATGGAAGCAATTAAGCCTAATAGTTGTGGTAGCCAGTGCGTGAGTATATGCAAATATAGTATAGGTGCAATTCGGAGAAAGGTAGTGTCGCCGAGGTCCGCCACGAACGCCACGGTTGCCACGATGCGTATTAGCCGTAGCGGGAACGTAACTGGCTGACCGCAACAGAGCCGTGTGGCAGAAGCAAGCCTCGACATCGTACAAACCGGGAACTGCGGCCTCGAGGTTTTTATTTTAAGATCCTGGAGCTAGCTGGGCGTGGGCTTAGCTGAGGGACGGCGCACCGGCCCTAAACCCAACTTAGAGGGGCTCAGACCTACGATTCCAGCATGTTTACCTGCAGCCCCAACATTTTGACTCTAAAAATGCCCCGAAGCAGTCTCCGACAAATGCTCGCTTGATAAAACGAAGTCATTCGGCAGTTAGGGTTTACGGATTTAGGGCTTAAGGGTTCAGGGCTTACGGTTTAGGGTGCAGGGTTTGGTGGTTTGCATTAGGGTCTACATAGGCGTCAGCACGCTGTACGCTTTACATGATACCACCAAGCAGGAACCGTGTAACAGACTGCTGATTCGGGTAAACCCGTGAATCGGTACCTCGAAGAGGAAGCTGACGTGGAGATGGAGCGCGTGCAGCTTCTGCCGTCAGATGAGTCTAGGCTTAACCGCGGATCTGGAGCTTTACACTCCACGTCGTAGGTATTAACGCAAGGGGTTGTGAAGTTGTCCGTGGTGTTTTTGGAACGTCAAATCGTTGTGCGGGGTTTTGGGGTTGCAGCCGGGCTCAGGAACTTGACATCGTGCACTGGGAGTTTCTCAAAATCAGGGATGCCTCTGCCATCTAAGCAGCAGGTTGTTTCAGGGAGAAATTCCCAAAGTTCACTTTACACGCTCATAGAATGGGTTCAACAGGGCAGCGGCACGGGGCCTGTAGTCAACACCCATGTCCCCATGTTCCAACATGTTCCGAAAGCACGACGCTCAACGTTCTGGGCGGCTTAGCCTCTCATTAGTGCCCGAAATCTCTTTGCATTCCAGGCAGACCTATGAAAGAGCGGTTCTACCCTGCGTTTTGCATATTTAAAGAACGCCTCTTCGACGACATCGCTGTCAACTCTTACGCTTAGGGGCGTTGCTGTAATTAAAAACCCTGAAAAACACAACAACCCTTTACCCTTAACAAAACCAAAAGAACCAACACCAAAAATACCAAAACATCCAAAACAAACGAAAAACAAAAAAACAACAAAAACAATTATTTCAGAATTCTTCCATTTGTGTATGTTTCTACTTCTATTCTGGAGGAGTACTGGGATAATGTGTTTGCGTTTTTTTTTTGTATTTTTGGTTTCGGTTTTGGGATTTGTTAAGGGAAGGGGTTGTTATGTTGTAGGGCTTTTAATTACAGCATCGCCCCTAAGCGTAAGAGTTGACAGCGATGTCGTCGAAGGCGTACCTGAACTGCCGGAAACGCAGCGGGAGAGTTTACATTGTACGGCAAACTCGCCCCGTGTCGTGTGCCTTTCTAGCTTAAACTGTAGTATTCGAAGATGACACAGATCTAAAGATATGGCATAGAGGTACGCTA